GGACACGAGTTCGAGCCCTGGTCTGGGAAGATCCCGCATACGGCGGAGCAACTGGGCCCGTGAGCCACAATTACTGAGCCTGCGCGTCCGGAGCCTGTGCTCCGCAACAAGAGAGGCCGCGATCGTGAGAGGCCCGCGCACCGCGATGAAGAGTGGCCCCCGCTTGCCACAACTAGAGAAAGCCCTCGCACAGAAACGAAGACCCAACACAGCCATAAAATAAATAAATAAATTAAAAAAACCAAAAACCAAAATACAAACAAAAAAACCCACCGAACTTGCATTGTGTTTGCACAGCTCTTCCCAGAGTCTGATGCTCTGAGGTTCTACTTCACCCTCTTCCTCTGCTGAGACACAAGTCAAGACCCTGGTTCTCAGTCCGTCTCTGGGTGGCTGCTGGATGAGAGGTGAGGAGACAGAAGTAATCCCGAGTGTCCCTCACTTGCAGATGAACCAGCTTTTCTGCCTGTCCCCACACAGCACCCCAGACTCCCTGCTGCAGTTCTGGAAACTCCCAACCTTCCTGCCTGATTAGTTTTCCACCTGGACCTGCCCCAGTGTATACCTCAGAGTCCATGCAGGTGCCACGGTGGGTATGATGTTCCTAAATGTTTATGCTAAAGGCTGCCTGGGTAACTCTCCCAGATACAATGAAGCACATCCAGGAGAGTCTGTGTCGCTACTTCCAGATACCCAGTACCCGGCCGTCTTTCCTAGAAAGTCAAATATGTGTAGATGTACTGGTTGTGTGTCCACTGCTTACTCTCCCCTTCATCCTTAACTTATAGAATCTCTACACTGATGTCCATAGTGTCCAGATATAAAAACCTACACTTCTCCACCTCTCTTGTTCCTACAGGCGGTCAATGGGATTCAAGGGCTTGTTGGGCTTTAGAAAAGCTCAGTAAAGGGATAATGACCTAGGAAGACCTTTACCCACACTTTTCCCTTCTTCCCACCTAAAATGCAGCCTTGCTGCTCAGAACACCATCAGCCACCTGAGATCAGAGTGCCTTGCAGGAAACAGCAGCGCTAACGATGAAATAAGATAGAAAGGCATCCTCTCTGATGACTCCTGGGAGCCACAGAGCAGCCATTGGACACCTACCTCTGACTTCATTGTACACGAGTGAAGACAGTCTGCTTTCTCTTCTACATTGCTATAATTTTGAGTTTCCGCTGTAGTGGTAGAACAATTTCTAACACACAAAGCACAAAGCAGTGCTTTCTAGCCCTTCTCAGCCTCCGGAACACACAGAATACAGGGACCTGTGTACAGCCTACTGTGGAAAGACGAAGCTGCTGGGGCCGGAGGGGACCCTCCTGGAGGGAATCAGTCCTCAGAGCAGCTTTTCCTTCTAATCACTCAGATCCTGTCCCTGCACCATGAACAGCAGGCTTCTGAGGCCCTGAACTCTGGGGGACGTTGGAGATGACGAAGAAGAGGAGAAGGACCAAGAGGTTTTGTAGGGGGGACATCAGAGCTTTATTCCAACACGGAGAAGAGAGGGAAGGAGGCTAATATCCAGGCTGAGTCTCTGGGCTGCCCAACCGGACACAAGGCTCTCCCCAGGAAGCCCTGTGAGTCTCTGGGGTCCCTGTCAGCCCCTGTCCTGGGAGACGAGAGGGAGGAGGGGGGCATCTGGCCATAGCAGGTTCTCGGTCATTCCGTTCCCCAGCAGCCCCTCTAGGGTCAGGTCAGCAGCCAGAGCCCCCGAGGGTTCAGCTCACAGCAGTCGGGGCTCTGGTGCCGGCACCGGTGGAGGAGAAGGGCCTGCGGTGGTCCAGGTAGCAGCCCCTGCCCCAGAGCTGGGGCCACAGCAGGAAGAGACTGGAGGGGGACAGGGGGCTGGGCACTGGCGTGGGCACTTTGGGGGACACTTAGGTGGCCATTTGGGGGTGGGGCACTTAGGGGACCCTTGGGAGGGGGCTGGCACTGCTGCTGGTTTTGCTGGCAAGACATCTTGGTAGGAGTTCAGTTAACCTAAAAGACGAGGAAACTCTTTAAATATTCATAATTGTACCTCTTTTAAAATCACTATCTATATGGAAGAGGAATGATGTTTAGATCATAGTTACATCAGTGACCTGAAGCAACTGCATCTTTCCTCCAGATGAAAATACATGGATTAAAAAATCAACAGGCTGAGCTTATTCTCCTTCCAGGGGGGAGCTGGGATTGCTCCATCCTCACATGCCAACACCAAAATTCACAACCCCTCGGTGTGCACATTCCCTCAGTACAAGCCTGTGCTCCCCGCTAGCCGTCCAGGACAACTAGGAGTGCTCTGGGATGTGTTTAACCCAGCACCCCAGAAAGAAAAGGGTCTGGTTTGAAGCATTATCCATTTCTATGGCGTAAACATTCCCAACTCGGCTCCTGTCCAGCTGTGAGTGACTCTCCTGAGAAGCCCTCCCACCTACCCTCTCAGGAGAGAAGTCAGGACTTCTGTCCTACTGGCCCTGTAGAAAGAACCCCGGCCTCAGCCTCAGAGGTAAGCTGTCAGGTCAATCATCGACACTTGCTGTAAATGTTGATGAAGCTTCAAGGTGCGAATCCTCCCTGGGGACTTCTGGCATTTTTTTTTTTTTTTTCTCCATCCACTTGACATCTCAATCCAATCCCAGGGAGAACGGTGTCATCCAGCACCTTGGTGACCTTATGGCACCCCGCCCCCATGCTGAGCCTCAGGGAGGCTATTGAACACAGAACAGGTACATATAGATATACAGATGTAGATACACGTACGTACACGTACACATAATAGCAGAAAATAATATAATAACTAATGATTGTTGACCTCTTATTTTGTTCTAGGTATTGTTCTAAGTGCTTTACACATATGACCCCATTTGATCCTCCTAATAATCCTGTGAGGTAGGTACTACTTATATTCCCACTACACTAAAGGGAAAACTGAGGTTCCTAGGGTTAAACAAATTGCCCAAGCTCACACAACTGGGAATAAAGTTTAGACAATTTGACCCCCCAAATAAAATCACAACTCATTCTCAATCATTTCAGTATAATATCAACAGGTTTCTCAATCTGAAGTGGTAATAAATTTACACATAGATTAGATACACTGGCATATACGTACTCCATCTGTAATGGCATTATAAGAGACGCTATAGTCCACCGAATTCTTTTTGGATGTGAGCATCATACATAGTCCCAGAATGTCAGTTTTTCTGTATGGCCCCAAATGTCAATTGTTTTGTTTGGTGGGGTTTCCAGTTCATTGATAACTATGCTTTTTTTTTTTTTTTTTTTTTTGCGGTACGTGGGCCTCTCACTGTTGTGGCCTCTCCCGTTGCAGAGCACAGGCTCCGGACGCGCAGGCCCAGCGGCCATGGCTCACGGGCCCAGCTGCTCCGCGGCATGTGGGATCTTCCCGGACCGGGGCACGAACCCATGTCCCCTGCATCGGCAGGTGGACTCTCAACCACTGCGCCACCAGGGAAGCCCGATAACTATGCTTTTTAAATTACTTCCTCATATCAGGTCCCTGAAGCAGTTATCGTCTGCTTAACATCTTTTCTATGTAATACGTGTGCACTTGCTTCTCATCAAGTCAAAGATGGAACTGATCATTTTTCATGACCCAAACAGTACTAATTATAGGCTATCATGGAATAAAACTATCTTAATCAGATACCATCACTACACACACACACGATAGCTTAAGACCACTTATATTCAGTTTTGGTATCTTTTTAATCGCTGGAATCCGAAGACGTTTTAGATGAATACGTAAGCATTAAGGAAATACTTACCAAACACTGCATATCTGAGCCTTGGAATACCTGTGACCAAGGCACTTATTCTCAGAGATTCTGGGCTGAGCAAATCAGATAAAGATCAAACAGATCTCATGAGAGTACAAGAGAGAGGGATATGCTCAGATGAATTAGAAGAGCAAAGCATTTCCAAAGGGAAAAATTCAAGGATTTTTGTAGACTGCCCCTACTAGTAAGGTCAAGGGTCAGAGTTCATTATCTCACTCCCACACACACTCAACGAGTATTTACTGGCCACGAGGCCGACTCTGGACACCAACATGCCTTAAAGAAATACACCCTCTACCCACCTTGACTGTATTCCACTGGAGAGACAGAAGTTTGACAAGTGAATGGAAACACAGAATTAGTAATTATAGGCCTTCAGGTGGGTGGGGTCATTCCATTGGAAGTCTTCCAATGGTGCTGGAGACCTTCACTGAGACCAAACCCCATTCCCAGGCCTTCCCCGAATGACAGTGCCAGCGGTCCAGCAAGGATGGGTACAAGATTGCTTTCTAGCTCATTCCACCTCATCCATCAGAGGGCTGTATAAGCTAGTGGAGGAGGATCACACAACCCTGAGGTTGTGGAGAGGGCAGGACAGTGAAAATCCATACAGGCATCCTCTCCTGATCCCTGCACACCTGACAACGGGCTTCTGTTCTAATGTGTGGTTGTCAAAGAGCTTAATTCTCTTAGCCTTCTCTGTGCATAGGAAGGATCTAAGAATCCGAAAGGGTGGCTCTATGTCTCCTTAATCTGAACTCAAGTAAGCCAGAGCTTTCCTTCGCAAAAATCCTTTCAGTTAATAGCTAACTTAGCAGCAAAGACTGAACACAAACTTGTAGCTAATATGATATTTTATTGAAAATGCATTTATGAAATAATATCCAAATTCATGTCTTTTTTACATAAAAAGACATTTTATGTCATTGTCATTTAAAAAATCATTATAGGGACATTTAAAATATATTTTTGTAATAAGAGTCTCCCTGATACACCATTATATCCTCAATTTATTTGTTTCAGTAATATGTCCACATTTTAGGTTTATTAAAACAAAGCATACATGTACTTTAAAAAATTAATTTATTTCTATTTGGTAGATTGATCTTTTTTCTCCTATCCAGCCGAAGTTAAGAACCCAGGCATTTATTCAGAGAGGAGGAGTAAGACTTGGTAAGCGGAGTGAAAACTTGAATTAAAAAAAACAGGACCAGGGGGTTTAAAAACATTTATTGTAGCAAAGCGGCTCATTCAGAGCAATCACATCCAAACCTCAGGAGAGCAAGTTTGAGCCCAGCCCAGAGTCTCTGTGCCAACAGCTGTTTCCACAGCGCAGCGCCGGTGTGGTCTTATCCCCAAGGTGAGACTCATCGAGGGGTGGACGAGACTGAAGGATGAGAAGCACAGGACTGGAGCCAGTCCTCGGCCTGCTGGTTACTTGGGTGATGCTCAGAGCCCAGCTGGGAAGCAGCCTCAAGGCTGTGGAAACAGCTGGATCTCTGATGTCCCAGTCAGCTGACGCCATGGCAGCCCTAGGTCCAGGACCACAGCAGGAAGAGACTGGAGCAGGGCATCTTGGGAGGGCCCTTCTGGGGACACTTTGGGGGACACTTGGTCGTGGGCACTTTTAGAGGAGGCTGGCAAGGCCGCTGGGTTTGCTGGCAGGACATCTAGGTGGGAATTCAGTCAACCTAAAACCCAATCCAGATGCTTTATGGATTTGTGAAACCTTAGGTCATTGCTTCCTCCTTTGCAATCTATCCCCAGGCTGCTGATATCTGGAGGTAACCGTAAGTACACACACATTCATTAAAAATGAATGTGTCTCGGGGCTTCCCTGGTGGCGCAGTGGTTGGGAGTCTGCCTGCCAATGCGGGGGACACGGGTTCGCGCCCTGGTCTGGGAGGATCCCACATGCCACGGAGCAACTAGGCCCGTGAGCCACAACTACTGAGCCTGCGCGTCTGGAGCCTGTGCTCCGCAACAAGAGAGGCCGCGACAGTGAGAGGCCCGTGCACCGCGATGAAGAGTGGCCCCCGCTTGCCACAACTAGAGAAAGCCCTCGCACAGAAACGAAGACCCAATACAGCAAAAATAAATAAATTAATTAATAAAAAAAAAAAAAAAAAAAAAAAAAATGAATGTGTCTCTAAGACATGGCACAGTTCTTGTCGCATAGAAGATGTCCAATAAATGTAGATGGAACACTAAAATGGAAGCTCCATGAGAACAGGGATTTTCAGCCCCCCACTCAGTTCTGCACACTTTATATTCCAGTGCCTAGAACAGCACCAGGTAATGTGTAGCAGCCCAATAAATAACTGAATACATGAATAATATATGAATGAGAAAGAGGAAGGAGAAAAGGGAGAAAGGCAGGAAGGAGGGCAGGAAGGCAGTTATATTCAAGTAGAGAAAAGGACACCAGTTGGCATTTCGTGGTAATATTGGGTGTCACCATTTTCTCCATGTGCACCCGTCCCCTCTCTAAGCATCCATGAATACATCTGTGAGAGGTAAGTGGCCTGGGATACGCCCTCCCCAGCCAGCTGTCTCAGTTGCCAGAGGCCAGACGTTGGCAAGAATTCAGGCCGGCTAATCACGCACCATCCAGTTTTAGGGGGTGTAATTCCCAGGGGGATCCACCAGTCCCCAAGGCAAAATCTATCCTCCTCCCTCCTCCCTCTTCTTTCCCCGTGGTCTCCAACAGGCCCCTCCCTTTCAGCTGCGTCCTCTCTAGGTTCAGAAGGACCCACTCACCTGGTCAGACCCAGATGTGTACGGCCAGTCCCAGAGGTTGAGGGTGGATGAGGAACTGGTGCCTGAGATGTGTTTTATAGGCTCCCACCTGACTAGGCTCCAGGGATTCCTGGCTCTGGGAGGAGCAGGAAGTGGCTCCTTCTACCCTGGGCACCTGCAGGGTAATTCTTGACATTCAGCTCCTTGACTATTCATTCCGTTCCTCCCAGGGAGAGGCTGAGTTATGCTTCTGAAGCTGGAGACCTGACCCTCACCAAACCATATTCTTTTCCAGGCTCAAGACTCCATGTAGCATCATGAGGAACCTGGTTTCCCAAAGCACTACGATCCTGTTCTTCCTTGGAAACATATAAATAAACAACTTTCCTGTCGTCTCAATTCAGCCCATGATCCAGCTTCCTTGGTCCTTAAGAAAATGCCTCTTTAACCTCACGGGCCAGCTGCTAGCTTTGAGCCTGAGCATCTTCCAAGTTGGTTGCTTTGTAAATCCCATAGTTCTTCTCTTCTGTCTCCCTGTCTCTGTCTCTGTCTCTCCAGTGAGGGAATGAACATGGGGATCAAGGCTAAAAGAATTTAGGAATTACTGCCTGGGCTAACTTTCTTGCTGGATATATCCTAAAGGATTATTTGAAAACAGTTCTGCCTTAATGTTGACAACCCATGTGTTCATGTCATCACTCTTTCTCTAATCCTCACAGTAACCAAGGCAGGCAGTACAGCTACGTCACACCTGTTTAACAGGTGGCTATAAGGAAGCTCAGGGGGCTAAAGGCTGGGAAAGAGCAGAAGCCAGTCTCACATGTGGGATTCCCTGGCTGTGCTTTCACTCCACTGCTCTTTTTAACCCACACCACTCAGTTTTCCGCAACATACCCCTGAGCGCAGCCCTGTTTTTCCCAGAGAATGAAATCCAAGTATCGTCTTTCTGTTACAAGGTCTCAGTCTGAAGGGGGCCTCCGGGGAGGGGTCAGAGTGAAGCTCTGCCTTGATTTTCTCTGCACCCTATTTCACTTGTAAGGGCTGCACTTAACGCTGTATTTTCCCTCCGCAATTGCACAGCGGACCTGCTGGGGTCCGCCTTGGGTAGGGAACTAAAGGCAGCCTCCTGCTCTGTCTCTGAGCCCAGCCGGAATGAACTCAGCCCTGTGCTCTTCTGTCGATGAGCTAAGGGTGGGGCTGCTTTGACATTGGACCGGACTCTAAGGGGCACCCACAGGTTTCTACTCTTCCTCGTTGTTGCCTGTCCGTTCTGTGGGCCTGCAGGCTTCTTTTCAGGATCCCCACCTGCTCTCCCCCTTCTACCCAAAGCCGACACGTCTGCTCTTCTCTTGAACACATTTCTCACAGTTTCCTTCTCCGTGGCATCTGGCCACCTTCACATGGGAACAAAAAGCTTGGGGAAGGAGTAAAAATCTGGGACCTGCTTGTAATATTGGGGTTGCTGAGGACCTCGGAGAGCTGATGACCTTGTGACTCTCTGGGTCTCAGGAAGGGCAAAGGGCAAAGGGAAGAGGAGGAGGATGTGATGGAGGGGAACTCCCTTCTACACAGGAAGGTCATTAAAAGCCCCTCGGGTCCTGAGGTCCTGCGGGAGAAGGGGATGGAGATGGCTAATCAAATAGATGCGTGCTTTGACTCTCTCATCACTGGGGCTGCAGTCTGGAGGTGGATAAATAATCAGGTTGAGAAGAAAGCTGGAAACAGAAATCTTGTGACTTATGTCCTACTTGGTGCTGTGGAAGGAGCTGAGACTCCTCCCAAGCTTCCCTGGCTCCCATGGAAGTGAAAGGGATCCAGAGGTTCCCATCTGTCCCACGGAGATGGAAGGAACTCATGGTGCTGGCAGAAAGTTCGCTGGGGGTGTGGGGGCTTGGGAGGTGGGAGGGTGACCCTAGCCAGGATGAATAGGGTCTGTGCCTCTACAGTTGAAAGTGTCAGGGTGGGCTGCTGGGGACAGGCTGTTCGGGAGTCACAGCCAGGGCTCAGGGAGATCCCCAGCTGCAGGAGGAGCTAGAGTGAACTAGAATGAGCCAGGAGGATACTGCACCTGCCCAGGCCATCGGAACAGAACACGGCTTCCCTGACCACCTGGCCCCAGCCCAAGAACCCTGTCAGTTCAGTCCTTCGACAGTAGGGACCAGCAAAAACCCCAAATCGAACAGTAGAACACCAGGCTTCCCTTGGCGTGGGACTTACAGGCCATATAAGCTTCCCTGCTCATGAACCCAGATGCCAGCATGGGCAGGACAAGGGGGAGAGGGGTAAAACGTGTTAATAGGGAGGTGAGATTTACTTTGGATAATTTCCTAAAATGAGATTTTCTTAAAAGAGATAGAAATATATACAGCTAATTAGTAATTTTAAGTGTGTTTTCCCCTGTATCCCCATCCTAAGTGGGCCAATTGCTCAAGAAACAACATTATATTCATTTCAATGAACGAAGCCCTAGTTCTTTCCACATTTTGGTTTAATGTACAAATGTTGCCAACCTACCACATTTTATACAAAGCCTGGTCTCCTTGCAACCTGCTCTCCTGGGAAGCACCCACAAGGTGTACATCTCTCCATCTCTGGCTTGCCCCCTGCCGTCTTTGCTCTCTCCCATGTCCCACCCACTCTAGGTCTCAGAGGCAGCATGGAAGGAAGTTGGATGTGTCTCATCGCTTGGCCTCTACATGACTCCTTGGATGCTCAACCCTCTCACCGGCCCCTCGACCCACTTACCTGTGCCTCACCCATCCATCAAGGTCTAGCTCAGCCCCACCCCTCCCAGAAGGCTTCCTGAGTCCTGCCGCAAGTCACTCCACCCCATTCCCCAACCAGTCTCCACTGTGCTCTCCTCCTAACCTGCTAGAATGCCGGGTATTTGTATTCTATAATCTACCGCGCCATTTGGCATTGTTCCTCTGTAATGTGATTTCCTTGGTCTAATGTAATAGCTATTCTTTGGTGTAGTAGTGCATACTAAACGAAATGGAATGTTAATACAGTTCCTTGTCTGAGTCAGCAGCAGGAAGACTTTGGAGCTAAGCCTTCCCAGAACCCCACTAAGGCCCTAGGAGCTCCTTAAAAATTGAGATAGAAGTTCACATACCATAAAATTCACCCTTTTAAACTGTGCAGTTCACTGATGTTTAGTGTGTCCACAAGGCTTTGCAACTTTCACAACTATCTGATTCCAGAACATTTCTCTCACTCTAAAAAGAAATTTATTAGCAATTAGTCCGTCCTCCCATTCCTGTTCCCACCCTCCAACTTCCCATCTCTATCCCCTGGCAACCACTAATATACTTTTTATCTGTATCGATTTACCTATTTAGAAACTTGTATAAATTACATCATATAATATGTAGTCTTTCCTGTCTGGATTTTTTTTACTTCACATAATGTTTTCAAGGTTCATTCAAGTTCTAGCACGTGTCGACACTTTATTCCTCTTTATGGCTGAAAAATACCTCAATGTATGGATATGCCACTGTTTGTTCATTTATGAATAGGTACTTTTGGGTATGAATAATAATGTTATGAACATTCATTTACAAGACAAGAGTCTTTTTATATACATACACAGAAACAGTATGGATGACCTTTTAAGAAAAATAACGCACTAGGCGAACTCTCTGGGTGGAGAAGGTTGCCATATAAGAGGAGCAGTAATCATGTATGTGGTCAGCAGTAACTTCTGAGAGTGGGAAGATGGCTCTTGGTACTTACTGCAAGTTTGAACTCAGTATTTCATAGATAGAAAATGGGTTATTTATCTAGTTATCAAATCGTATACTTTAAAAATGTTATATTCAATCTCTTTTTTTGTCCCTTAATCTCTCTGGCAAATGATACAGCTTTCTGGTAACTTTCAGGGGTTGAAGACTTCAGTCTAGCACTAAATTTAATGGTTTTTCCTGCCTCATGAGCTCAGACCTAACCCATGGCCCAGGAACCCGCAGTAAGTAGGGAGAATGGATGGTCTGAGCTTCCACTTTCCTGCAGGTTCTCTCCTTCTCCCTCTTTCATTGGTCTTCTTTTGGGCATTCTTTCATCTTCTGTGCATTGGGATCTCAGGAGATGGATTGGGCTGGTGCTGTAGTGATCCAGCTTTTGTAACCAGGAATGCTTCCCTAACTCCAGGGGCACATGGTAAGCTCTTCAAAGCAGCCCCTCACTGGTCTCTATTCTGGGCTCTGAATTTCTGCAGCGCATCGAGCATCCAGATGGGATTGGATATATCCATTTCACTTTCCTGCAGGTACCACCAATCTCTGAGTGGTTTTCTTGTCCCTTTGCTTGGCTTGAGAGGTGGTAAAAACTAACTCTTCACACTCAAGAGGGGAGAAAAGGGAAATAAGCCACAGCCATTTCCCCAGAGATATCAATTCCTTACTCCAAGCAACTTTCCCACTTCCGGGAATGCTTCTGTAATGTCTCGTCCAGTCTTTATAGGCTGGTGGGATGGGTCAGTGATGGTCTCGTGATGGCTCTCCTCTTTTTCAGTAAGTCTGGAGGAATCCCTGCAAACTCCTTGGTGCTTCAGTAGAAATGTTAAGGTGCCTTGGAGAGGGAGTATGATGGGGATTAACTTCCTGGTGCCCAAGAGACACAAGCTTCAAAGCTCATGCTTGGAAGCTGCCTCACCTCGCTGTTCCCTGAGTCTCAACGTAATCTCCATTCCATCTTCTAAAGTCTGCTGAACACTTCTCAGGTGGGTGTGGATCTTAGTTTGTTTCTGCCTCATCTCCATCCTTGTCCCGCTGTCTATGGATATCTGTGATAGTACAGGAGTCACTTTTGGAGGCCGTTCCTCTCATCTGTTGTTAAGAGCTGAACTGTGATCCCCAAATTCATATGTTGACATCCTAACCCCCAGTATCTCAGAATGTGACTATTTGAAGATGGATCCTTTAAAAAAGCAATTAAGGTAAAATGAGGCCATTAAAGTGGGTCCTAATCCGATATGACTGGTGTCCACATACAAAGAAGAGATTAGGACACAGACACACAGAGAGCAATGACCATGTGGAGACACAGGAGAAGGTGGCCACCTCCAAGCCAAGGAGAGAGGTTGCAGAAGAAGCCAACCCTGTGGACAACGTGATCTTGGATTTCTAGCCTCCAGAATTGTGAGACAATAAACTTCTGCGTTTTAAACCACCCAGTCTGTGGTACATTGTTATGTCAGCCCTAGCAAACGAATACATGTTTTCCAAACTTCCCTTCAACTCAGCTTCTCCTCTCT